CTCCTTTTTTACTGTCTGTGCAGGTTGTTCAGCCAACAATGTGCACACGCAGAGCCCACATAATGAGGTAGCTCATCCACAAAACCATTGGCACTTTCAACGTTTTTGAAACTTGTCCTAAACTGAGACACTCAGTTTGGATCTACGTTTAAATGCCAAACTGGGAAGAAGAGGCAGGATCCCCAGATGGAGCCAGAAAAAGAAAATTTTCAAAATATAACAGTAAACACCAATTTGCATTTTTAACATCTGTCTCTGTTTCTTTGACTATCTTCATTAGAGCAGGGCAAACTTTCTGTAGATGACCCCAGATCACAGGGACTGTAGGAGCTTAATGCAAACTCCAGCACCAGGGTAGATCCTCTGAAAGATTTGCAACATCTGCATGTTCAATACATGACGTCTCCTTAATGAAACACTGGATCTAGAAGCTTTTGTCTCAGGAACTCTGAAACCAGAGTGCAGTCTGTCTCCCCATCCAAACTAAAAATAAAATCTCTTTTTTCATAGGGTCAAATTGTGTCCTACTGCCCCTCTTCAAACTGGGCTTTGACAGCGATGCATCTTCCTTGCATCAGAAATAGTGTGGCCAGCAGGACTAGAGCAGGGATTGTCCTCCTGGAGTTGGCACTGGTGAGGCCACACCTCGAATACTGTGTTCAGCTTGGGGCCACTCACTACAAGAAGGACACTGAGGTGCTGGAGCATGTCCAAAGAAGGGCAACAAAGCTGGTGAAGGCTATAGAGAACAAGTCTTACGAGGAGTGGCTGAGGGAATTGGGGTTATTCTCCCCTGAGAAGAGAAGGCTCAGGGGTGACCTTCTGGCTCTCTGCAACTACCTGAAAGGAGGTTATAGAGAGGTGGGAGTCAGTCTCTTTCTCTCAAGTAACAAGTTGTAGGATGAGAGGAAATAACCTGAGGTGGTACCAGGGGAGCTTCAGGTTGGATATCAGAAAAATTTTCTGCACGGAAAGGGTTGTCAAGCCCTGGAACAGGCTCCCCAGGGACATAGTGGAGTCACCATCCCTGAAAGTATTTAAAAGACGTGTAGATATGGTGCTGAGGGACACAGTTTAGTGGTGGACACGGCAGTGCTGGGTTAACGATTGGACTTGATTTTCCAACATAAATGATTCTTTGATTCTTAGTGGGGTGGGGCTTGTGGAAGAGGACATTGCTGTATGTCCTGTTTCATTAGGTCAGGACTGAAAGTTTCTTTCTTTCTGTATTTCCTGCAATGAGAAAATGGAAATAATATTTATTCTGGCCTCTGTCATGTTGGTGGTCAGTGACATGTACTAAAGGCACATAGACTCAAGTAAAAGATCTGTAAGTGAAAGGTGTTCTTACTTACGGCTGGGTTTGTTTGGTTTTTATTCATTCTAAACGAAACAAATCTTTTGGGTGTTGTTTTGAAATTGTTTCCTGCAGTGTGGACACCCAGCTCAGCTCCTTCTCCAGGTTCTGGGCTTTCCCCATACTGCTTGGTGAACCACTGGAAAATCACTGTTCACTGGCCGAGCAAGGCCCAAGGGATGGAGCTGCACATGCCTTGCAGGCCATCCCATCAGGTGTCCATAGAGAAGATGCAGCTGTGGTCACTTTGCTGGTTTTTGCCCAGCCCTGAGCCTTTGGGCAGGACTGATGCTGCACTGGATCGCAGGGTGGCACCTGAGCTCTTCCCAGGGTTAAACACTTTTCAAGTAGCTGCACTTGGCTACTCCTCTTTTGACTTTTTCTTTGCTGGGAACCAAAACTGAAGTCAGCAGGGGAAAAAGGTTCCTTGTGCTGTTGTTCAGGGCATTGTGTCCAGCTCCATGAGCCAGTGCCAGCTGCAAGACAGGATAAGTCTTTTTCCACTAATGAGAAATCCCTCCTACCCTCTCCTGGTCAGAAAATTTTGTCTTAAATTTCTTTAAGACAAAGACTTAATTCTGTTCTTACTGTCTGCTCTTTCAACTCTGTCTCCTGTGCACTGCTCTAAATTGCCATAAAGAGGGCAAGGCTGGCACTGCCATTAAAAGGAAAAAAAAAAAAAAGAAAACCAACCAAAAAATCAGCAACAACCAAACAAAACCCCCTAGAATAATAAAGACTGGAACAAACAAACTGCAGTGGCGTTCTGTGAGTGCCCAGATCTGTTCAGAGCAGGATGCCAAGTCCTGTCTGAGCAGGGTAGAGGGTTTGGGGATCAAGATCAGCTTTAGACAAACAGACCACATCTCCACCATGAGTTTAGGTCTCAGATGCTCTCCCACAGCTGCTCTTGCTGTTTT